CTTTTGATTATTTCTCATTAGCCTGCGATGAAAGCACCGATGCATCTGACACTGCACAACTACTTATTTTTTTAAGAGGAGTTGATGACAACATGAACGTGACAGAGGAGCTGCTTGACCTCAAAAGCCTTAAAGGGCAAACCAGAGGAACAGATGTATTCGTTTCTGTTTGTGAAGCTGTTGATTATATGAAACTACCATGGAGTAAAGTTTCTGGGATCATTACCGATGGTGCGCCTTCCATGACTGGTGAGCGAAGTGGATTGTCCACACTGATCTGCAATAAAGTCAGCGAAAAAGAAGGTAACGCTATTAAACTTCACTGTATCATTCACCAGCAGGCTCTCTGCACCAAACATCTAAAATGTGACGATGTTATGAAACCAGTGGCAAAGGCAATCAATTCTATTCGCTCTAAAGCTCTATACCACCGACAGTTTCAGCAGTTCTTGCGTGACATCCAGGCTGTATACGGTGACGTAATATATCACAACGATGTGAGGTGGCTAAGCCGGGGGTCCGCACTGCAGCGATTTTTCTCTCTCAAAGAGGAAATTGGACATTTTTTGGGTGAGAAGGGACAACCAATGGAAGAACTGTCCGATCCTGTATGGCTGGCAAATGTCTTTTTTGGTTGACATAATGAAGCATCTGAATGCGCTGAATGGTAATCTTCAAGGAAAAGATGCAGTGGTGAGCCAGCTATACACTCACATCAAGGCCTTTGGAACCAAACTGCAACTTTTCCAAAGACACTTGTCCCAAACAGAGCCCTGCACCGCGCACTTCTCAGCTTTGAAAGAGGTCATTGACAGTTTCCCACAGGACAGCATCGGTGCGCAAATGAAGAGTTATGCAACAGCTATCGCATCTCTTTCTGTGGCATTTAACAAACGCTTTCGGGACTTTGCAGTTATTGAAAAGGACATGTTGCTTTTCTCTTCTCCCTTCTCCGTGGACCCTGATGATTATCCTCCACAGCTGCAGCTGGAGCTCATTGAGCTGCAGTGTGACGATGAGTGCCGCGGAAAACACCAGCAGTGTTCTCTTGTTGACTTTTACCGGCAGCTGGACAAAAGCAGGTTTCCAGAAATGCGGTCATTCGCTAAGAAAATGCTGAGCTTATTCGGCTCCACATATTTGTGTGAGCAAACATTCTCAGTCATGAACTTAAACAAGAACTGATTGAGGTCAAGGATGAGTGACTCCCACTTGCGTGACATTTTACGCATCTCAACCACTGCCTTTAAGCCATACCTGATCTCTTTACTGAAATCTAGATCTCAGTATCACCCTTATCATTAGTGTCAGCAAGTTATCTGTTCCTTGATCAATCTGAAATTGAGTGTTTTGAACGGTAACATCTGTCACTATTAACAGCGAAAGGCCCGAAGCACACTAATGCACTTGGACTTATGGCACTTGTTTTTATTAAACTCTTGAATAAGATTTGGTTATAACTGTTGATGTTATGTACCTGTAAATGTGACACAAACTATTGCTTTCTGAAAAATATTGTAAAAGTCAAGGGCAAAATTCACTTGTTTTAAAGTTTAATGATAACAGACCACTTTGCATTACTTATAACTCCTGTTTAAAATGTTCACGAGGCAAAGATATTTAACTCACGGAAATGTAAGGTATTCTATACAGTTTGTTCAATGTTATCTGACTGAATGAAAGGCAGAATTGTGTTTTTAGAGTTGTTCACGTCTGCCTGAGTGGCTTATATTTGGTTACATTGTCATTTGAAAAATATAGATAATTGTGACAATGAAAATTGTTTTATAACAGTGTGTATTTTCATGTAACTTTTGTGGTTAAAAAAATGTCAGAAGGAACTATTGGCCCCTGGGCATCTTCACTTTATCAAATTTGGCCCTCTTTGCAAAAAGTTTGGACACCCCTGCTCTACAGCATCCCACGTCAGAGAATGAGGAGGCTTACCGCAGCCTTCGCTCGGAGGTTCGGAGAGCCACGAGGTGCTGCAAGGATGGGTGGTGGTCGCGGGTTGCTGAGGAGATGGAGTCTGCCTCAATGTCCGCGATCACAAATCCCTATTTAACGCCATCAAAAAAGTAACCTGCAGCGCCACACCTATTACCATCATTAGGGGAAAAAACGGTGATCCAATCTCAGACCCCCAGGAACAGGTTAGCAGATTTGATAAGCACTTCTGTAAAGTCCTGGGGGAGGGGAAATCCCTCGATATGGAAAACATCGTGGAACAAAGTGGGTATGACCCTGCTGAGGCTGCGGTGCCTCAAATATTGGAAGAAGTCACCCCCTATGAGTGGCTGGCTGAGGTGCCATCTGTTGAGTAAGTACTAAAGGCGACCCAGAGTCTAAGACTAGGAAAGGCACTGGGCAGAGATGATCTGCCAAGCGAAATGCTGAGGGAGGGTGGCGTTTGTGCACAGACTGCCCTACATGACATCATAACAACAGTCTGGACCACTGGATGGGGTTCCGCAGGATTGGAAGGATGCCCTTGTGGTCCCCCTCTTTAGGAAGGGGACTGCACAGACTGTAACAACTACAGGGGCATCTCACTCTCCAGTGTGCCGGGAAAGGTCCTGGCAAGGATTATTCAACATCGCCTTGCCAGGCATGCTGAGGAGAGACTTGCGGAGCCTCAATGTGGTTTCAGGAAAGGGCGGTCCTGCACAGATGTCATATTTTCTATCCGTTTGCTACAGCAGATGTGTAGGGAATTCCAACAAGACCTACATCTCTGCTTTATTGACCTGGTAAAGGCCTATGATACCATCGGTAGGCCTGGGCTCTGGGTTGTTCTTCGTGCTTTCGGAGTCCCTGACCCTCAGTTCAAAATCAATAAGGACCTTCATGATCAGTTTAACACGTAGGCTTTCGCGACCAATATTATTCATAATCAACGTTTTTGGGTGTAAATGTTGTGGTTTCACGCTTCAACACACCGGTGGGCTAAAGCAGTGAACTAATTGTCTTTTGTCAACGTGACACTTTTTTACTGATTGGCCGTGTCGGGTGGTGGAGGGTTACGATACATTTATAAATAACGCGATCTAAACCCAAAAACGTTGATTATGGACCTTCATGATGGTGAGTGGGCGCGGGTAAAACTACGTGGCCGGGAATCGGCACCATTCTCTGTTCACCTTGGGGTGCCATAGGGTTGTCCTCTGGCTCCCACATTATTTAACATCTTTTTCGACCACGTAGTTCGTGAAGCCTTTGATGGCTATACCAGAGGAATTTCCATCTGGTACAGATACAATGGGAGGCTAATTGATGCCCGGGTGCAATCAAGGGATGGCTCCTTATTGGTCAACCATGTTATGTATGCTGATGATCTGGTGATTGCTGCTCACTCAGAGAAGAAGTTGGAGGCACTGCTGCTGGACCTGGAGCGTGCCACTAAGAGGTGGGGCCTTACCATCAGCCCCACCAAAACTAAGCACCTGAGTATTTTGTGTCATCACAAACGCCACCCCACAACTCCAAATTGGTGATGGGGCAGTAGTGTAGAGAGTGGAGAGTTTTCCATACCTGGGTAGTGTGCTCATGACCAGCTCCAGTTTGATAGCAGAAGTCTCACTCCGAATCAGTCGAGCGGCATTATCTTTTCTTCGGTTGGTAATGCTGTGTGGAAGCTACCTGGTCTGTCACTCCACATGAAGCATCAGGTCTTCTCGGCCAGTCATACCCTCCCTTCTCTATGCTTGTGAAACGTGGACCACCCCCCCCCCCCGAATGAAACATCTTTGCTGGTTTGACACATTTAGGCTGGCCTGCCTACAATCCATCCTGGATTTAACCAGGCTGGATTGTGTGAGCTCACAAATCCTTGAAGAATCTGGACAAAGTCCCATTGGTGAGCTCATCAGGCAGGCGATGCTGCGTTGGCTGAGTTATATAGCCCGCATGCCCAGCCACTGCATGCCTAAATAGCTTTTGTTCGGCTTGATAGAGGGGGCTAAATGGGCACGGCACGGGCTAGAATGAGATGGAGTGATGTGGTAAGAGGATGTGTAACCGAGTGGACCTGACGATGACTTGTACCAGCATTGTCAAGATCGGCCTCTGTGGAGGAGGCTCGTGAAGGACGCTACTGGGCAGTTGGAGGCAGTCTAGCTCCAGCAACAACAGAGGGCGGAGGAGCGACACTCACAAGCGGAGCGCCGTGTGGCGAAAACACAGCACGTTGGCACAGTAGGCGGCACAGGTGGTGCATCGGTCAGTCATCTGTCGGTCGACCTATGGCACCTGGGTCTGTCCCGTGACCTGCTGCCGGCGGGCGTTCCGACATTTTACGTGGCGTAAAGGTGCACATCGCCAGGCACAAGCGCCGTGGTGAAGTCACCGCCACTTCGTAGCGAATTGCGGTTGTTGTTGTCACAGATTTGAATAACTTCATTGATAAGGTGCAAAAGTCTGGGATGCGTTTTAATTTTATAATCCGGACTATATGTAAACTATCCCACTCATGCTGTGCGACTGCTCAACACCTGCAGTGAAAACTAAAATATATATTTTTTTATCTTACCAAGTAAGGCCCACCGAGCTATATAAATATTTTTCAGAAGCGATCTGGCTATCAAAAATGATAGCCCAACGAAGTGTCTTATCAAAATGTGGACATTTAGAGCTGCCAAATACCCTAAACGTGTGGCGTTGATTCTAAATGTGGAGGAAAAAGCGGAAAACACGGAGGAAAATCCACGTGATCACGGGGAGAGACATGCAACTCCAAATATACATCAGGCATCAGGGTTGTGATCGAACCCACGGCCTCCGTATACCAGGCGAGGTATTTAACGTGTCGCCTGCATCTCACATCAGGTGACCGACTCTGCTGCACGGGTCAGATGTGTTTGTAGAGGTCGCATGATCGGCACATCTACCTCTGACCTCACAAGTCAAAACACCACGAGTCTCGATGGGACACCACCTGGTGATGAAGGGATGATGATGATGATAATGAAATTCATGCTGCAAGCAATAAAACCCAGTTGTCAATTTATAACAGTTTATTAAGCTTAAGGAGGAACAAAAGTAAAACCAAAATTACCTAAAATAATATGAAGGAAAAAAATTACTCAAGCACAGGTTTTTGAAAGGAAAACTCAAGCCCAGGTGGAAATCCGTAGGGGGGGGGGGGGCGCATGCAACTGGAACGTTCCAGACTGCTGTCGCAGTGCCCCCTCACTGCCAACACGTGGAATGATAAGCGTACCCCTAACCACCCTCCGCCAAAAAAAAGCGAAACGCGTTTTTTTCCACTAATCTATAAAAGAAAGCGGTAAATAAAAACGATAACCTGAGAAAAATCAAAAGCACGCTCGCAAGACCATCGGACACAACCCGTGGCCAGTGGGTCGTGATGGCACCGGTTTTGTTGTTGAGATGCGAGCTATCGCATTGCGAGCGAGCGCATCTCTGCACGATCCTCACCCTGTCGTCACAGCGGCTCCAATCAATTACCGCTCGGTGGAGACACATTTTTTGCGTTGTGGCTTCACGCGCACGAGCGAGCGAAGAATCCCCCAAAACCGTGCTGTCCACAGGGGTGTAAATCGATCACACTGTGGTTCACCCCCGGCGCCTTGGCACTGAAGTGCATTTACATCCGACATCTTGACGTCGAAACGCAGGGCTAACCCCCCCCCCCCCAAAGCGAGGGGCCCAGGGCAGTCACCCTGATTCGCTGGACCCTAGGGGCGGCTCTGAGCGTGAGCGCGTCGCTCGTCTGGCTGTTGCGGAAGCAGCGAGCCCTCATCCTCCTCTTCTTCTGTCGTACGGCAGCTGATGTAGATGCCGAGCAACAGCTGCAATTTCACATTCACTGTGGTCCAAGCCACCTGAATGTACTTTTCACTGCTGTCCGTGTTTGTATTATTCGTTGTTGTAGCGTTCTGACCACTTGCCCCTAGTGGACATTTTGAAAAAAAGAGCTTTATAGCTCATCGGAATCCTCCTCCATTATAAATATTCTGATTCTGAACTGCATCAGGAGCGGCGGGAGAAGTGTATCGCCGTGAGGTCTCCTTATTTTGTGGATCGGGGCGTTATTGCGTCCTTATACGTCGTGCGGCTCTGTTCTGGATGACCCGAGTCACCAGACTACTAGACAGTTTATACTTTTCCATTTGTGCATCATCAGATATCCGCATCTGCTGCTGCCATGGTTTGTGCAGTGGTTGATACGGTTTATGGGTGGACCATGAGCTTCGTGGAAGATTTAAACCCAGGGGATCTTCTGCGTTTGGGTCTTTGACAAGGCAGATGATCCTGGGGTTTAGGTCTTTCATGAAGCTCGTGGCCCAGTGAGCAAGTAGGCCTCTCGGGAGCCTCTGTCTGCAGGAGACGGCACGACTTTACAAGCACGTCTATACCCAATGCTTGAAAGTGCTCAGATATCAGCAGCATCAGCAGCATCAGCAGCATCAGCAGCATCAGCAGCATCAGCCACATCAGCGGAAGCATCATCAGCATCAATGGCATTGGCGGCAGCGGCATCAGCGGCATCAGCAGCGGCATCGGCAACGGCAGCAGCAGTCGTGTACATCAATGGACGCATATATTCTTACACTTAGATAATATCTGTGACACACGGTGCTTTTTTGCAAAAATAATGACTTAACTTTGCATTAGCCAGCTTAACACAAGTGAAAAAAAACGTATTAAAATTTTCCCAAGGTAAAACAAAAATAGGCACTTTAACCAGAATAGCAAGAACACAATCCCATGACTCTCCATTGAATGAGAAACTTGTCACAGACACAACAGTGCGTGCAGGCTGGAAATAAAGAATAATTGTACCTCGCGAAACTATTAGTTTTGATTGGCAACAGGTGCTACTGTGACCTCTACATCAGTCCTCCCATCATGCCTTGCATGCACAGGGCATCACCATGTCATGTGACTAGTCGAAACCCATATAGTCACTTGCCACATGACATGGTGATGTCACACCTCCGATTGGCACGGTTGGTTAGGTGCAGTGCTAAAGTACAACATACACCGCACCTCTGATTAGGATGCTTACGCTACGTACGGTGCGAAAGTTCAACACACACATACACTGCACCTCCGATTGGCCCGATTGGCACGGTTGGCTATGTACGGTGCAAAAGAAGTTGTTAATCTCACGGTGACGAGATGTTAATTCCCTCGCCTGGTATGCAGGAGGTCGTGAGTTCGATCCCGACCCTGATGCCCGCAGTATATTTGGAGTTTGCATGTTCTCCCCATGGTTGCGTGGACTTTTATCTGGGTCCTCCGGTTTTTCCGTTCACATTTAGAATCAACGTCACACGTATAGAGTATTTGGCTAATACTATACATTTCCACATGATTGGCCACTTCATTGAGCTATGATTGTGGCCAGGTCGCTTCTGAAAAAGAGCTATCTAGCTCAGTGGGCCAAATCTAGTAAAATAAAAAATAGTTTAGTTTTAAAATAGTTTAGTTCTACAGTATCTCACTAAAGTTAACAATGAAGTCAGCTTACGTAAGTTTTAAAGACATGAACGGAACATTTACGAAAAGAAAGCAGTTCAAGAACTTTGCAAACTCCTGAAACAAGCAAGTGCACTCAGCTGCAATCAGCCTCCAAAAATCACCAGGCAAAGCCAGAGCCCTGTGCTGCCCAGGAATACTCACCAACTCACATTCGCTCATTTGGAATTATGCGATCTTTCATTAACTTTAGTCCCGACTCATTTCCCGTTCAAACGTACGGTTCCAACTTAATAGCCTGCGGTACTCGGGATTTAGCAGGACTGCAAAAAACAACAGGGGGGTGAATCTCTCTGGAAAGGGGTGAGAGGGGGAGGAGGAGGAAAGGGGTGAGAGGGTCAGAAGAGGTATGAGAGTGAGGAGGAGAGGGTAAGAGTGGGGGTGAATGGGGTGAAAGGATGAGGAGGAGCAGGGCGAGGAGAAGGTGAAGAGAGGGGCAAGGGTGAGAAGGGTGAGGGTGAGCAGGGTAACCGTGAGTGGAGTCAGGGTGAGGAGCAGCGGGGTGAGGGTGAGCAGGGTGCAGGTGAGGAGGAGCAGTGTGAAGGTAAGCGGGATAAGGGTGAGCGGTGTGAGGGTGAGGGCGAGCGGGGTGAGGGCGAGCGGGGTGAGGGCGAGCGGGGTGAGGGCGAGCGGGGTGAGGGCGAGCGCGGTGCTTGCGACCGCATTCCTGTCGAGCGGAGTGGCAGCCGTGCGGAGCGCTGGCACCATCGCCGCCAGCGTCCCGCTAGGCGCTGGCCAGGCGAGAGTAAGCGTGGTCGTCCTTGATGAGGCCTGCAGATGCGGTCACGCGCACAACAAACACGATGGCACAACGAGAGGCGCGTTAACAACGACGACAACGAGCAACGGCAACCAACCTAGCCAATCGTGCTTATCGGAGGTGCGGAGGAGCAACAAACTAAACACAAAAAGCAGTTCTAAAAAATTTAGTTTTCAATCTAGATGATGATTTAATAGTGCGTAGCTCCCAATGGCTTCCTAGTACTGGAAGAGCGTTGCAGATGGCCGCAGAAGCGCATCCGAAAGTGCCGTGCGATGCGGTGACCGTCTTTGTTCGATGGCCAGCCAAAAGCCGCTGCTGCTGTGAGGATGTTTGCGATTTGATCGTTTCTGCTCCGTGATGAGATCAGCAAAGTATTGTGGTTAAATGTGGCAAGTACTTGTGTGTAATAAATTCAACCTTATAATATATTCATTCAGCAACCGGAAGCCAATGCAGCTCGGCGACCACTGGACGGACTTTTGGAGGGAGGATGGCTCACATTGCCTTCCCATAACATTTAAAGCTTTCGTGACTGCAGGGATTCATATTCTTGGATCTTTCGGGAAAGTTACGTAGAAGGGAAATAATAAAATAATAAATAAAAAAACAATAAAATTCTCACGACGTTTCGGCCACAACATAAGCATATTTTACTATTTCCCTTCTATGTGACTACCGAAAGATCCAAGAATGTAACATTATATTTCACTTATTTTATTTATTTTTATTTACTCACCCCTCTTATGCTATTTCGATCCTGACCCTGACGCCTACTGTATATTTGGAGTTAGCGTGTCTCTCTCCGCCTGATCGCAGGGATTTTTCTCTGGCTCCTCTGGTTTTTCCCTCCACATTTAGAATCAACGTCACACATTTAGATGATTTGACTGCTATACATTTACACGTGATAAGCCACTTCGTTGAGCTATCATTGCTGATAGCCAGGTCACTTCATAGTTTTTTAACAGTTTTATTTTGTGCGTGGTTGCCATTTATTATGGTCAGTCGGTGCTAGCCACTGTAATGCGCACCGACGCCAAACGTTAATGAGGGCGATAGGGGCACGTAAAATAAAATAAATAAAAATGTAATCGCTCGATCGATGACCACATCCATAGAGCAGGCTATGCTCACACGCTGGAGGTTGGCTGCACGATGGAAAACGCGGACTCGAATCCCCTGTAAGCCTAATGGTGGAAGGGGGGGGTGTCGGCGATGACGAGAGTCTTTTTCTTTCTGACACCGTTTGCGTTGTTATTCACGACGGAGACGGTCGTCCGGTTCTCCGAAGGGCAGTTTGGCGGTGTTGCCACGTGAACGAAATTACAAAAAAAAAAATTTCCGATTAAAAAAGTCAACCACGTTGAGAATCAGCAGCCGTGGGTCAGGGTTCGCGTGCTCGGCTTGTCCGCATTTCCCACGTACAGATTGACAGCGGCGAAATGCATCATCAGGATGCACGCGACCGGGTGACTTTGTCCTCACGACCGAGTGACTCGGTGACAAAGCGGGAAGATCTCACCTTGTCTATGTACAGCTACACTAGGAAAGGAAAAAAATGAAGATAGAAAACTAATTTCTTTACAACTCCTTTTGTGTTTAATTTGTTGTCCTTCCCCACCCGCACCTCCCATTAGTACTGTTGGCTACGTTATGGTCCCAAAGAAGTTCGACATGCATACATACGTATGTTGCGTGTCGCAGGCTGTGCAACTAAATTTTTAAGCTTTGTTCATTGGAAAATAAAGCGTTTTAAAATATTCCTTCGAATGCTGCCACCACGGCACCACGACACCACGACACCGACGTTCAATGACGCGTGAACGAATTTTTATTTTTATTTACGGAGGTAAAAATGGCGAGTGACATCACCGGACTGCCACGACGACTGATCTATCCGCGATTTATTCAAATCTGCTTTCTCGTTCAACACAAGATTTTGTGACAATCTCGGTGCGACTCCGCAAGAGCTCCTTAGAATCCCACAAAACGCTGGCACTGTGACTTATTAACGACCAGATGTGCGCTTTGCCAGACGACGGTGTGCAGCAGTCGAATAACAACGAGAGAGACATTCACCGTATTTCTTTCGGATCTCGTCGTGTCTTGCCTTACGATCGGCCCGCCTGTCAAAACACACGCACGCACACCACACGGAGGATGTGGGTTTATTTAAAAGAGTACGAGAGACATTTTTTTATGTTTGAAATCAAACCTCCTTGCCAAACCATAGCAATTCGTAGTCTGTGTCAAACTTTGCCAAAAAATAAGACTGTAAAGTGGGGGTACTGCAAAAGAAAGCACTGTTAATAATTACTCTTAGGTTTTTTCGGTAAAGTCACGTAGTTAAACATAGATTAAAATAATAAATAATGAAAATCATAGAAATAATCATAGAAATAAAATAATAAATCACGACGTTTTGGCGGCAACACAAGTCTCCGTCATCAGGTGGGACCGTCACAGCTAAAATTTACTGTATCAAGTGAGGCAAAATTCCAAGAGACAAGCTCTTAAATATAAGTTAAGGGGGAGGGGGGGAGAGGCTTATCTGAATGTGGTAGCCAGCGAATGGAACGTGTTGGGGGATGGGCGGGGCTAAAAGAGAACAATCGGTGTACCTCGACTTCGGGTTGTAACCAGTGTTGGCTGACAATCCAAATACAAAAAAGGCAGTACTGTTAAACGCTGGGGATGTCAACACTCGGTAAAGTAGAATAATTAATAATTATTCATAGATGTTGATTCCCCAGCTGTATATTTGGATTTTGCGTGTTTCTCTCAGCCTCTCTCCCCGTGGTCGCGTGGATTTTTCTCCGGGTCCTCCGGTTTTTCCCCTCCATGTTCAGAATCGTCACGCGTTTAAGAGTATTTGGCTCCCGCTATGAATTGCCACGTGATGATAAGCCCACTTCCTTCAGCTATAATTTGTGATAGCAAGTTCGCCACTGAAAAAGAGCTATGGAGCTCAGTGGGCATTCGTTTTATAGTTCAGTTTACTATTTCTATTCCTACTATTTAATTTTATTTTACTAGGTAAGGCCCACTGAGTGACCTGGCCACAAATGCTAATCCAACTAAGTGGCATATCAGCACGTGAAAATGTATAGCAGCCAAATACTCAAATTTCATATATCTAAATGTGGAGGGAAAAACTGGAGGACCCGGAAAAAAATCCACGCGACCACAGGGACAGCATGCAAACTCCAAATATACAGCAGGCGTCAGGGTTGGGATCGAACCCACAACCTTCTGTATACCAGGCAGTGGCGGCTCGTCAATAGAGGGCGCAGGGGCGCCGCCCCCATCAATATTCAAGAAATATACATATACAAAATTTATATAAAAATACATAAATAAAATATTTTTTTCATACGATGTGCCGGCTGGTAGTAAGAAAAGCATCAGCATTTAATAAAAACTGGCTTTAATCGGTCAACTATTTTCTATGTTTTTCAATGTGTTTCATGCGGGGCGCCGGACAAATGGATGTCTATGTGAGACTTTAAATTTTCGGACAGCATGTGACCTGAAGCTGGTCTCTAATTGGTTTCTTAAAGATTCTCTTCGGGGCGCAAGTCGTTGCGTCCCTGGCCAATCAGAATTGGATACATGTTATTTTATCCAATCTGATTGGTTCTCGTCACCTGTCATTCAAATTTACGCTCTGGGCCACTACTGCGAGTGCGCAGGCGACACCACTTTGACACTTGCTAGGCTGATCAAATTTTTTGTGTAAACAATGGCAGCAGTTCATCCAAATTCTGTAATTTATTTACAAAAAAACCCTTTCACAAGGCTTTCGCTGGAAGAAATAAAAAAGATAAAGGATCTCGGAACGGACCAACCCGATTTACAAATCCAGCAGCAGGCCAGTGACAGAGGACGAAGCTACACACGAAGCTTCACCCGCGCTTGTTATGAGAAACGGAGGTGGCTGGCTGGATGTGATGTTAGCAATTCTCTTTTTTGTTTTCCCTGTCTTTTATTTCAAAGTGTCGGCACTGAAGTTTTGTGGACAACGACGGGGGTAAGAGACCTCAAACATCTCTCTGACAAATGCAAACGTCATGAAAGTAGCCGCAGCCATATTGATAATAGCATGAAACTAACGTTTTTATGTTCAAGTAGGAAACATGCTTTTTGGTACTTTGGTCTGAAATGTATATAAAAGAGAAACATTTATGTTCAAGTAGGAAACATGCTTTTTGGTACTTTGGTCTGAAATGTATATAAAAGAGAAACATTTATGTTCAAGTTGGAAACATGCTTTTTGGTACTTCTTTTGGTCTGAAATGTAAATAAAGATCATCAAAATTTATATTAAAGTAGTCAAAATGGTTTTTGGTACTGCTTTATATTTATTTGCCCCCCTCAATAAAATAAAAAAAATGCGCCCCCCCAAAAATAAATATCACCAGCCGCCACTGATACCAGGTGAAGTAGTTCGTGGGCATGTGAATAGTTTGAGGTCAATATGTTCTCAACCCCGCTCATTGGATGAGTGCGCTTTTACGCCACCGTCTTAATCAGCGATGGATGTGATGATTTACAAATCGCCGTAACACTGTTGTAAAAATCCTGCCCGATTAAAACGCCACTTGCGAAGCACGCAACGACGCGTTGATTTGTCGTGCGAAACATCTTGCCATGCTCGCAACGCAACGTGCACAGTTGTGTGGGCAGAAATCGGTTGCCTACGATCCGTCTTGATTTCAATGTAACCAGTTCTCTCAAATCTCTGCAGCTGCTAGAGGCAACACATTCACCACTTCATAAATAAAAAAGAGAGAACCGACTCTTGGAATCAAACGCCGATCGTGAACTGTGACAAGTCGTGGACTCACTGGGGTGGCACTCCGTCATGTTGACATGATACTGCCAATGGATTTAGCGGTTTGTTGCGCTGTGACGAGTTCACGCAAGTCGGCATGCGACTACCGATGCCGGCTGCCTGCACGCTGGAGGGGACGAGGGTGGAGAGGGGCAGCCATACCTCTCCTCGCTCTGCGCGCGCCGCTCCTCCTGCTGCTGGTGGAGGCGCACATCCTCGCGAGTCGGGCCGCTGTGGGGGCGCAATCGCACCGCCACCACGCAGCACACCACCACGCAGAACACCACCACAGATACTCAGCACACCGCCACCACACAGCACAGACACAGCACACCGCCACCACACAGCACAGAATGCACAGCACACCGCCATGCCACCAAACAGCACACCTCCACCACACAGCACACCGCCAGGCACAGAGCACACAGCCACCGCACACCACCACCATACAACACACCGCCACAGTCCACCACACAGCACACCGCACCAACACGCAACGAAATTATTCACTTGGAAACATTTATGTTTTTCACATCATACGTACTGAAATTGTGGACATCGTAGGATGGAAAATTTTCGTGCATTAACAACTGTTAACACATGTGCAGACAGGGCAGCCATTCACCATAATGCTCATCTATTGGTCACTTAAGACTAATTGACTGGGTCTCCATTCACCGCGACAGGGTCTCCCATTCAGTGACTGGGTCTCCTATTCACCGCGACAGGGTCTCCCATTCAGTGACTGGGGCTCCCACTCACTGACTGAGGATCCCATTCCCTGTGCCTGAGGCTCCCATTCACTGTGACTGGGTCTCCCAATCACCCTGACTGAGGCTCCCATTCACTGTGACTGACGATCCCAATCACTGTGACTGGGTCCCCTATTCACTGTGAACTGAGTCCCCTATTCACTGTGACTGAGGCTCCCACTCACTGTGACTGAGGATCCCATTCCCTGTACCTGAGGCTCCCATTCACTGTAACTGGGTCTCCCAATCACCCTGACTGAGGCTCCTATTCACTGTGACTGAGGCCCCCATTCACTGCGAGGCTCCTGTGACCTGTGTCACTCGACATCACCTCTTGCGGGAGCGGCAGCAGCAGTAGCAGCAGGTGGCCAGGCCCAGGAGGAGGATGCCTCCCACCACCGACATGGCGATGATAAGAGCCTCAAAGTTCACTGCGGACACAGCAAATGGCACACGCGCACGCAATGCCACGTTATTTACAGTAAACTCTCAATTATCGACGTTAATCACTGGGAGGATGGCCACTGGAAAAAAAAAATCGCCGATAATTCAAAAATATACATTTTCCGTGGATCTCTATACCAAAAACCACTGATATAGGTGTACATTATGTTTAAGTTTCTCTGCCATCCCACAGTTTCTCAATTAAAACTCAACAAAAGAAATGATCGGATAAAGCACTCAAAACGAAGCACAACTGAAAATTTCGGTTTAGAACGAATACTCACGATCGACCGGTTGATGCGCGTGCTCATTGATAAAACTTTCCTGCTCTTGCACAGTGGATAACAGCAGAGCCATGCCAATCAACATCAATCAAACTCCGCCCACTGTTGTAAAGATATGGCAACTACTGTACTCTAAAGGCAATAACGTAGATTTCAGATTAACTGGAGCACATATTTGTTCGGTTTAAGCACGTGACTTGGAAATAAACTTTTCCAAGAATAACAATGTATAAATGTTTTAAGATGATTAATTTTGGCATCATGGAAAATCTACGAGTAATTAATTTATCATGACTTAAAGCTTTTGTGACTGCAGAGATTCATCCTCTTTGGGTCTTTCGGTAAAGTCACGTAGATATAAAAATAAAAAAAATCACGATGTTTTGATCGCAACACAAGCAATCGTCTTCAGGTGAAAAAAGTACAGCGAGAGAGCTGCTGAAGCAGGATGTTTTTAGGCCTGAGATGGGTGCATCCCAAGGGTAAGTGGGCAGGGTTAGAGATGGTATTTGCATGGAAATGTAAGATCGGAGGGTGCCGAGGCTGTGGGGGTGGCCATTATATTGAGAGAGATTAGCATGTCAATGTATTGTGAGAACGGAGAGCACACTGAGGCTGTGAAGGTAGCCATTGTATTGTGAAAAACCGAGAGCCACCGCCACATCGACGGAAAGAAGCATCGGTGACTATGCTAGGAAGACATCCAGCCTGTCAATGCAAAGACCTCCAACCTGGCAATGCAACTCAGAGAGTCGGAAATAACTGCTAACATTGGCAGGTAGGATGGAAACATCAGAGCCAGTTATGACTTAAACTGGTTAATAACGTCCTACCAATGATTGCTCAGTTTGTACCCATCTTCTCGGTTGAAATTGTGTCTGTGTTTATATATATATATATGGATGGCTTCATGAACGAATCTTTGTTGATAGCCAGTGGGTTTGCAGAGTACCGTCGTCTTGGAAAAATCTATTTTGTGTGTGCCCACAGCGTTAAAACAATGATCAACCACAGCCACGGCCGATGTATTGGTCCGATCGTGTTTCAGATCTGCCTTATGTTCACGAACACGGTCTGAGACATATCGCTTAGTTTCCCAAATGTAACTACTGCCGCAGACACAACTTAGTTTGTAGACACCGGGGTATTGCATGTCAGGGATAACATCCTTCATAGATGGGATCAGATCACGAATTTTATGTACTGTGTTGAATCAAACCTGGATCTTGTGTTTGCTCATGATTTTGGAAATCTGTTTGGTGACCCCTGCTATGTATGGCAAGGTGATGGTTTTTATTGGGTCCTCAAATGGTTCTCTCACAACGGTTTGGGTGACAGCTTTACAGATTGTGCAGTCCGAATATCCATTCATCTTGAGGGCTTGGTGTACGTGCTCCAGTTCACTGGCTAGGTGGTGATGGTCGGAAATGCAACAAGCCCTATGGTGTAGAGTTTTGATGAGGGACTTCTTCTGGGCTGGATGGTGGTGGGAGTCAGGTTTTAGATAGGCATTCATGTGGGTGGCTTTCCTGTAGACAGAGTGTCCCAATGAACCATTTGGTCTCTTTTCGATTAAAACATCCAAGAATGGTAACTTGCCATCCTTTTCCACCTCCATGGTGAATTTGATGGCTGGGTGTATGAAATTGATGTTGTTGAAGAATTGGTTCAATGCTGGCAGGCCATGTGGCCAGATGACGAACGTGTCATCTGCGTATCTCTTCCACAAGGATGTAGGATGGCTATACCAAAATCAATAGAGATCCCACCAACCACCTGGTTACGAAAAGCAACAATATCATCACTGATTCGACATCTTTGCATGTCAATCCAGCAACACCGCTCCAAAGGCTGTGACCTAGTCCAGTGATTGGCACCGTATACGTGACGACAAAAGCAGCTTTGCTTGATTTCAGCATTAAATATTATATGCAGTACATTATACACCACATAAAAACAATGAAAATACTGCACGTGTGTACATCACCCCATGCAGAATCTTCGACATTGGAGTGGTAAGTACAGTACAGTAGACAACTTTTTACAGGATATTTATTTTTGTCTATTTGTATGTTTACTTATGCAAATTTTACATCGTAAACAAATTTAAAAGACAAAAATAACATATACACGACACCTAACAACATGTTATAAAAGAATGTGCAAAAATAAGCTATTTTAAATAATGATTGAGTGATTATGCAGCGTTTTTGAAAATCCGGCACCCCCCCCACCCCCAAAGCCGCTGGATAATCGATAATCGACTGCAATTGCCTTTTCGATATCCCTAGAGCATTGGAAGGAGTGATCAAAAAGGCTATGCCGTTGCAGCCACCACCAACGTTGTGGAACAACTCTCGCTTCCTGCCCTTAACATCGTGACATCTTCCTTGGAAAAAAAACATATTCCTCAAGCAAGAAGATGAGCGCTGGACAACAACCACGTTTGCAAACGTGATTGGCAACTTTTGTCATTATGCTTGTGAAGTGACATACTAGGTGTCACTAGAGGGCAGCAAGTGACAAATGGTACTGTAGGGGCATAACCCTGGCAACAGTGAGAGAGAGGGTGGATGAGGACATGGCCCTTGGGTGAACCCGGGAGGACACGTGACCGGACAAGGTGGAAGGGGCTACCCCCCAAAGGGGGTGAGAGGGACACGTGATGGGGAACCAGAACCCTCGAGAAGAATCTGGAATGGGGCGTGGCCCCGGCGGAGCCCCTGGCCACGCCGGGGCGGATAAAATCCCGGTGAGGAGAAGCAGGCAGGGTTGTCGTTGTTGCTGTCCGAGGAAATGGAATCCGCCAGCCAGGTCCTCGGTCTTCGGGCGTCGAACAAGCCGTCGAGAGCCGGGCAGCGTGTTAGCTGACCCGGCCGATTATATAGTGTTCCCGTGTGTGGTTATGTAGCTATCTGTGGTGGTCACCACCCTTAGTTGTTATCCCGTTGAGTGTAGACTTACCTGTTGTGTTAGTAAATAAACGTGTTGCCTCCAGATTCAAGTGTACGCTTCAATAGAACCCAATACACTTGTATCGAGAGTCCGATGTTAATGTGCAACGTTACTAGGGGACGACTGCTGCTGTGTGGTGTCATCTTGGTGTGTGGTCTGGGACTGTTTTGGTTTTGGTGCCTCGCCCAATGCTTGATAAACCAGACCTATATAATTAATTTGTTCATCATTAAATTACATTCCGTGACTTGCTTACCATTTTCTCAATTTTGCACTCCTATCACGATTTTGTATCGTTTGCTGTTGTAATTTGCTGACCCGCCCATGCTGGACATTTGTGAACAAAGGGGTTTCATATCTTTACTGGATTCCTCCTTCAGTCTAAATAGAGACTGATTCTGTAAACACAATTGAATAAATGTGGAAAATTCTGACGAAAAAAAGGCTAATTAAGAGCATGATGTCAGCTCAAACTATAGCCTCCTCTTGCGAAGGAAGCCACGGAATCTCGAACTCCAAAGGTGAAACAGACTTGGCGCGTAATCGTATCACAGCAAAACGCTCCGTTATCCGGCACCCTACCATCCCGGAATGCTCTCTTAACCGGCATCTGTCATAGACGGCAATGACTCTTCCTTCACGTATCCGGACAAAATTCCGACAGACATCCGGTATCTTCCCATGCTGCCTATTGTAGACCCGTTTTGTTATTGCTGTTTTTATTTAAAGCTTTCGTGACTGCAGGGATTCATATTCTTGGTTCTTTCGGTAAAGTCACTTTACCGAAAGAACCAAGAATATGTTATTGTTTGTGTTTACGGGAGCTTCAGGATACTGCCGAGTGGTGGCGCTAGCCGAAGACTGTAGTACAGTACTGTATTACAGTACTACAGTACTGTAGTACTGTACTGTACATACAGTACTGTACTACCGTATACAGTACTCTCCAAGGCCCCACTGCTTCTCTGCAATCAACTTAGAATGCTCTACAACTGACTGGTGAGTACCTTTGTAAAATAGTATGTTATTTGTTACGTCATTGTTCAAATGTAGGCTTAGTTTATTTTTGAAGAGTTTCATGCACTTGAAAAATTTGGTGAACCATGAGTACTGTACAACTCTTAGATAACTGGCACGTTTGATTAACCGGCACCCTCCATCCCCCCAATGGATGTCGGATAAATAGACGCTTTCTCTTGCAGCACCGTAGTGTTCATACCGCACAGCATCAACCAGGGCAGCCCGCTAGATATAAACGGGCGAACCTCCGCAACGAGAGATGAATGGCACGTCGGCCGGGTCGTGTCACTGCTACCCCCCACCCCCCCCAAATGCCAGCGTGATTGAAATGGGAATCATCGGTCGACGTTAGCACGCTCTGCGGGGACGGCGGGTAACGGCGTCTTCATCAAAAACAAAAATACAATATGGGAAGGTGAAACATTGAGCAGATTTTCGTACGTCTTCTCATTTTACCGCTACATCTTTGGATTCCTCGGGTTACAAGACTGAGAAGAGACACAACGCTGCGTACATCAATGCCTCTGGGTACATCCGTGATCTCGTGCAAGACACGTCTACTCAGACTCGCCTTCCCATGAAATATAAAATTTAAGGGGGGGGGGGAAGTATCTTTACTTATTATTTATTTTATTTACGACAGCAGTCCCTCGGTTAAACAGGGACATCGGTTAACATTTTTTCCGGTCAACATTATGTACTTGGGGCGCCAATTTCGGGCAATCCGA